GTTTCATAATCTTACATTTACATTAACTTATATTAAAGTTAAAAAAAACCAATAATATACCGTGTGTGTATATTTTAAACTACTGCTGACATCAAACTTCTGCCAAAATATATTCAGATCAGGCCAACTTGACTTTCCTGGCATTGAACAAGTGTCTACTCTGAGGTCCAAAGCAGCCCTGTTTACCAGGAAAGCTGATGAATTGATCAGAGTTGTGATCTAGCATGAGATGTTATTATGAGGCTGTACTGTACACACACTGAAACACACAGACTCATGCAAACCGTAACCCTAAACCAAGTCAGGCCAGTTTACAGTGCTACTGGACAAAAACAATGTCTAACCTTGAATGTGGTAATTATTCAGTGATATCATGTGCCATTTGTCAGGTTAGCTATGAAGTATATGGGATGGGTTCAACAGGAGTTTAATGTGTGTTCACTAGCCGAACATACAAATGTCCCCTGTAAAAAAGGAGGTTAAAACACCAGTATTCTTATTCCTCGTGGGTTAAAGAGCAGGGTAAACTTCAAATTTTGTGGTTTGTGGCAATGTTTTCTCATGTAAAAGCTGTTGATTGATTAAACTGTGGCAATAACATTTTTGTTTAAACAGCAGGTAAGAAATTACATTACTCACCAACTGCTTCTCACAAATGAATAGTTTACAAGTTTTTTAACAAGACAATCAACGAAACATTTTGTTTTGAGAGTTGTTATTTCTATGTGTGTGTCCATCTGTTCCAGGCTTGTTGCCATTTTCATGTGAGTATAAATGTTTGGTTTTTTTATAAATAGCGCTATTCTAGACACACACACACGTTACTCAGTATGTGCTTCATACATTCATACAGTGCATCCATGTGAAACACTAACTCTATTACACATCAGTCACACAATGTCACAGCCATATGGGGGAATTTGGGGTTTAGTATCTTGCCCGAGGACACTTCGGCATGCAGAATTCTTCTGGTTAGAGGATGACCTGCTCTACCTCTTGAGCCACGGCCGCCCCATTATATTGAATAGATGTCTTGCTACAAATCGAGCTGTGAACAAGGTATCTCATCAACAAAACTGGATCAGTGACAAACTATCAGTAGGCACTAGACCTGCTTGAATCACTGATGAGTTACTTAGTTAACTTAGTATGTGCTAAGTGAAAATGCTACTTCAAATTGACCATAATTAACTTTAATATATATATTATATAAGTATTTACCATAATACATAAGCAACTGCTCTTTCAGCCTATTAAAGGTTCCCTGTTGAGTTTCTGACCTATAACAGTGCTATAGTGCAGCTTCTCATAGACGCAAACAAAGCAGAACTTTTCAAATCAAAAAAGTTAACGTAAAGTAAATAAAGTAAATGTTATGCTTACTATCAGATTGTAATTCAGACCACAGGTATGTTATTATCTGTAGAAAAGACTCATGACATATCTCCTTATTTTGACACCCACTCCCTAATGGTTGATGTGTGATTGTGTGCATGTGTGAAACTGTATAGTTTATTTGATGAAAAGTGATACCTCTGTCTCGATTTTTGAATATGATAAAAATAACACCTGTGCCATTCTCTACTCCTCAAAATTGTCATTTACAGCGATTGTGTTACTATATTTGTAATGCCAGACTGTTAATGCTTATTGCTTTATATTATCTATTACCCACTTCATTCAGTAATTTACGTTGTGGAACCAAATGATCACCATCTTTTAGATTTATACATGTTACAGAAAAATCCCTTTAGTATTTTGATCCGTCACTAAAACCCATGAGATTAATCATTTATCATATTCTGTAACAAATGATTATGTAAAACAAAAAGCTAAATAATAAGAAAAAAATGGAAGTTTTAATATTACTCAACAAGTTTTAACCTTTTTCTGCTGTCTGGTCTATATTTTTGTGTATTGTAAGGTATAGTACTTTTTTAGGGCATTAATTTAGCATCACAATTAGAACTTGGGCTCATAGACTGGGCCCGTCCATCTGCGGTGGAAAGACTGGGGGTGCACTCTTGCTCTCATAGCTATAAAATAGCTTTGCTCTGAGAGCCCCATCTCCAATCAGACTGCCAATTTATCAACATTTGCCCTGCTGCCTTCAGGTGCTGCAGAGATTTAATAAACTGAAGGAGAACGTTTTTATACGGTTTAAAGCATGTGTGGACAACAGATACTGTCGGAAGAACTCTGCAGGTACACTCTGATTAACTAGCTATAATCACATTAAACTATTATCTTGCATTCCAGCTACTACTTGTGATGCAAGAACAACTTAGAATATTTTTGGTAAAAATCACCAGATTGCCAGTGGAAAAACTCTGCTCTAGAAACAGGTTCTGAGATGTCTATTCCCATCCAAAACACCAACAATTAACTTTACACCACCTCATCTGAATGAATGGTGCACTTGTGGTAACAAAATAACCACCCAGACAAGCAAAGAATATTTCATGGGCTTTGTGTGTCGGTCTTACTGCTGCCATTAAAATGGGCCTTGATCAAATCGCAATGTTCTGTCATTGTCTTGTTGTACTCAACAAATCAGACAAGAACAGTATGTAAGCCTTTGCAGCATCCATGTTTCTGTTGCCAACACACCATGAGAACCAATTGAACACCTGGCACAGCAGCAGAATTTGGGGGTGGAGATGATTTCCTAAATATGTGGTATTAAACTGAGTTATGGCTTTAACAAGAGAATTTAGAATGATTTCTTAGTTACGCTGTTCTCTGTAAGTATACTGACCAGTTAATACATTATGGCATTTAAATAATTTCCCTGTAGTGATTTTTTTTTTCTTGCAGTAAAAGACAATGCAGCTGTGTACATACCATCAGCTACATGTAGCACACATAAAAAGTCGATGCTTGAAGCAAAGAAACAAGCAGCGGTGTGTGATATTGTTAGGGAGTCTAGCCTATAAGACTCAGGTTTCAGCCTCTTCAAAAAGATGATCAGTATGAGTCAACAGGAAGAAACTGTCAGAGGGGCTGCTGCTGAGTTTGACATCTGGCAGACAAGGAGCACAGTTAGCTGTTGTTGACATGGATACAGCACTCTGTGTTTGCAACATCCCAAAGTCATCACTGCTACTGTGTAGCTGTCAGTGTCATCATGATTACAGTGTTATTATGTTGCCATCTTCTCTCAGGCTCTCCTGACTGATGCTGGCTGTGTTCTCGTTGTGAAGCGACGTCATCATAAAACTGTCACTCAAGGATGCGCCGACACTATTGGGCAATGAGATGCTCTGTGGGAGGGGCCTCACCACAGAGGAGGGGTGCTGCCTGTTCATAGGTAGGTCTCTGTTGAGGTTACTGTTGTTACTGTTGTTTACTCGTTGGGAGTCGAAGGGTGTCAGACAGTCATTCTCCAGAATGAGGTCGCCATCATCATCTTCATCATCACTGTCACCCTCTGCAATGCTGTTGCTATGGAAGCAACACATGACATGAAAATAATGTTATAAAATCAATCTTGAAGTTACAGATGTGATAGACTTTAGGCAGTTTGTTGAAAAAAAGCAAATTTCAAATTTAAATGAAACATTCAGTCCAGGGCTGATTAATGTATCAGAAATGTCATCTATTCATTTACACGTTTTGCTTTGGGTTCAAACACATTTTTGAAATAGCAACAATAGTTGTTATTAGACGGATATGCATAAATCTTCTCACTCAACAACATGCACCTTTGCTTTAAAAATCTTTGACATGTTGGAGCAGAAAAATGGGGTAACATTTTACTCTGATCAGAACTTATCAGGAGGAGTGACTGAAGAATTAAAATACATTGTATGTAATTCTACATAAATACTATATATCTGTGTGCTGTCACTTTGTTCCCTACATTATTTCTTTTTAAATTTAGACCACTTTCCCCCTTTTTCAATCTTGCTTTTGGCAAAATTTGTCAATACAATCCAGGCTCACGTACCTTGCAGTAATGGGGTTGCTCTGAGAGGCAGGGCTTGGTGAGTCATGTGACAAAGCCGAACCAGTAGATCCAGCTGAGCCTACAGAACCAGAGTTGCCCATTGAGGTCTTACTCCCACGAAGCACCACATTGTTTCTCTGGTTAGCTGGTTTCACAGTCACAATTAGGTTGTGACTGTTGGCCACCATCATGTCTGTAACCTGAAAAGACAGACAAAGGGGCTTAACTCCGGAAGGAGTGTACATAGTCCGATCAATAGTTTGATTATTGTCCAAAAAAGACAAAGTTAATTGCATAAATCAGTTCTTCCTCAAATTTGTAAAATATTATACTTGGAAGACATAGTTTTCTTCCTGTTGCTCTTTTCTTCTCTTTTGAGATAGTATTAAGTTCACTGCCCCCCTTAAATTCAATTTTCCTGGCTATATGCCATGTATTATTTTTCCATTGGTTTCCACTGTTTCATTTATTTAGACACACCACTGTAAAAACAAAAAAGACAGACATCAAGGCTCCAAGTGCCAAAGGCAAATAGCCATACAAGCAAATTCATTGTAATCAGTGATCTTTCTCTGTTATTGTCGAATGTAGATACCTCCAAATCAGTAAATCTACATTTTGACAAAAAAGACTGAATTAATGTGGTGTTAAATATAGTTTGACCATGTGATGGTTATTTAAGGTGAAATAATTATACTAATTTGTTGTAAGACAAGTCCAGACATAAAAACACTAAAGTCAGGTTAAAGTGTGTATATGCTATGAAAGACTTTTTTAGAATGAGCATAAGGTAGCCCTGCAAAGTCTCTTCATTATCACCTTCGCCAAGGACATTTTCACTCCTGTCCCTTTGTGTGTAAGCTAGTTTTTTTTTGTTTTAAGCAAGATTACACAAAACAAGTAAACTGATTTTCCAAAATTGTTTGGAAGGATGTGGTATGGGTCAGAGAAGAATTGATTACATTTTAGTGCCAAGTTTTTGTCATTACACTGCATGGCGTTTTTCAATATTTTTACAATTTTCCCAGAATAAACATATAGAAGACTAATATCTATTACTGTGTGAAATTTGGTGCAGGTCGACTGAATTTAGGGAGACTGTTGGGCCTTGGTAGAGGTGTGCACTCTGAGTAATTATCTTAGAAATTATGAAATCTGTCTCATAAGCAGCTGTGGAGACAGCAAACAGAAACTAAAAACATTACTGTGACAAATTTTTACTTTTGCTGTAGTGTGAGAATTCTCTTCTGTATTTACCTGATCCAAAGATTTCCCTGCTACATCGATGCCATTTACTTCAAGAATCTCGTCATTAATTCCCAGCAGCCCTGTACTCTCTGCTAGCCCACCACGTACCAGACGAGATATGAACACTCCTGGAACCTACATAACAGAGGAACAGTTTTACATGTTTACATGTTCTTCTACATCATCGTATCATATTCAGTTTATCATCAACTTAGTCAGCTTGCAAGGTGGAATTTTATCCTCAAAGTCAAGTTGGATGAAATTAAGTAACTGATCTCACCTTCTCTACACCGTGTGGCGCCACTCTCACGCTCACCCCATCACGAATGTAGAAGCCTAGTGGTTTGTGGGTACCATGCTTGTGAAGTCGTACACGTCGGTGTGTCTCAGGTAAGATGTCCACATCAATGATGGAGGAGATCTGTCTGAAGTTCTGTGGGAGGCCAATCATAAGACCTGGCTTGTTCTTTGAGTAGGTGGAGCCTGAGCTTGTGGTGCGCAGTCCAGTTAAACCCAGCCCCTTTTTACGCCTCTGGAGGGAGTTGGTGGCAAATATGACAGGTTCATCCTCTTAAAAAGAGAAACATACAAGGACAAAGAGAACAATTCATTATTTAGATTATATTTGTCGCTCATAAAACCCATTCAATTTTGGTGCGGATGTAAACAAAGAGGCAGATCCAGGATTTTTAACATTGTTTTTCACAGATTTCCCAGGGAATAAGGCATCCTCTGATATCCTCCTCTGGACCCACGTTCTCAAATGTGAGGACATTTTCATTTTTTTTTTCTTTTTTGAAACTCCAAAAGCATTTGTGTGTGTGGTGAGTCGATAATGAGTGCATTTTCATTTTTGGGAGAACTATCCCTACAAGGTGCTACACTAAACAAACACTGAGAGCGGATGCACTCGGGATTACCAATTTAATACATACTGATCAAAATTATGGTGTCTAATTAGTCTCTAAACTTGTGCACAAAATGCCTCACATTCACTTAAGTTTTGAAGCTTTGGAGATCAACAATCTCTTGTTAGGACAGAGGCCAGAATCACAATGTTCCTACACCTTTACAATCACATAATGGATATCTGGAAAGGTTTTTATTTTTAATATCTGTTTTGAATAATAAAAAGTAACAAGTAGATTGTAGATATTTCCTTGTCAGATTTCCATTGCAGTTAAAAAATCTAATTGTGGATATTTGGAATTGAAAATACATGATGTAATCTATTCTTGGAAGCATTTTGTTGTGAATGTCTAAAATGATAACTATGGATAGGAAGACTTGTGCATATATGAAATGTTCTTTTTCTAACTAGGAAGACATAATTCATAACTAGAATTCCTCCCAAGAAATGTTGTATGTGCCTAGGTATAGATTCCGGGTCCAGAGATACATTTATAAAAGCTGCATGTTAATAACATGATCCAAGTTGGTGAGACTGCTGTTTTGAGAGAGAGAAAGAGACAGAGAGAGAGAGAGAGAGAGAGAGAGAGAGAAAGAGGACTCAGTGTTTTCAATTTGAAAGCAGTTAATATGCAAAATAAAATTCTACCCTGAGCTGGTTTTAAACCCACAATCACTTAATCACTGTACCTGAATTCTACCAACTAAGCTAAACACATGAAATTGATAAACAGCTGTGAAAGTTGATGTTTTAAACAGCTCAACCGTCGCTTCCTGCTCTGCGTGTGTATTACTTTGCCATGGAAACTCACTCACTGATAACTACAACCTGAGCAGCGCATTAGGTTTCTGTCCTCTTATGATCTTGGGACTTTTATTTTTTAAATCCAGCTTCCATTCATGCTTCCTGGTATGGGTCTCTTACTTTCTGGGGGCTTTTATTTTTAAAATCTAGGATATATTCTGGTTCCCTCGGGAGGTCCTATCACCATCCAGAGGCTTTCATTTTGAAAATCTAGCCTCTATTCAGGCTTCCTGATAAGGTCTTATTACCAACTGGGGCCTAGTGGTGTGTGCACATAAAAAGCCCCAGCAATAATAATATGTAACATGCTTTGCACTGCAATATGCATTGCAGTATTTTTTTATACAGAGAGGAGTGTGTTACAGAAACTGACCCCAATTCGACTGGAGTGTAGAACTGGAGATCATGCATGTCAGTGATCATACCAAACTATCATCAAAGGCCGTCAGTATTTCAAGTGACCAATGGGAAGAGTGGAGACCTAAGCAACTGGCCCTATCTTCAGTGTCAGAGTGTCGTGAGTAGTGAGTGTGAAGGGAGAGTCCGGCTTATGCTCATAACAACCCCACTTTCCCAGGACCACATGCCAAAGTGTCCTTGGGCAAGATAATGAACCCCGAATTGCCCCTCATAGGAAGAAGTGCTGCCCATAGATGCACTGTATGAATTTTATGATTGTGCGTCTGTGAAAGGAAGAATTGTAAAAAAAAACAGGTACTGTAAAGTGCTTTTAGTGGTCATCAAGACTAGCAAAGCACTATAAAAACCATTTACAGTTCCAATGCTTTCACGGGAACTGTTCTGACTTCTATCACTTACATGCACATGGTTTAGATAAGTGCAGTTACTGGGACGAATTAAGTGGAATACAAAATTTATTAAGAGATTGATGTGAATTTTTGTGGGAACCTACTGCAGTCATTCAAAGAGAGGTAAAGGAGAGGTAAACAACAAACGAGTAATGAAAATGTGATAAAGGGAAAAAACGCATACTCACATGCCAAGTTTCAGATGGAGCTGTATATGTCTAAAAATATTATTCTGTATCCGATTTAATATCTGGATCCATTACTCTGACTGTATGTGTTCGGGAATTCATAAATATTTGTTTTACAGTATTCACGTCATTTTCTAATTTTACACCTTACCATCTATTTTTTTCTCTCTTGCTCTCTCTTTCAATAGCTTAATTGAAGATGATTGTTCTTCCTCCTCTACATACATCACTTAAACTTTACTGGCAATTACAGCTGATACTTCAGCTGTTGATGCATGTTGAGCCCCTGCACTAGAAGTAGAAATTCCTAAACAAATTAAAACCCAGCTACTACTTGCACTACTGATATTATACTAATACTGATATTGAAAACTGAATCAGCAGCAGGTAACAGTTACAATCTATTGATTCTTTTGATGATGATTCAATTTGTCTATCAAATTCAAGGACAGATTTTTATTGTTAATTGTACTTTTACACCACAAGTTGTACAATAAAATCTGGTATTCAAATAATGACCAGTAACTTAATTAATAAAAATTAAAAAGTGGTGTGCTCTTGTCTGCACTCACATCTTAAATGTAGTATAATTTCCTGAACATTTCCAAAGACCTTGTTCCTGACCTTACCTTATTGCTTAAACTCTCCCTTTTAACAGAAGTAATGTTTTCATCTCTAGTTACTTGCTTAATAAGTTGCAATGACTGCACAAGCTGTCCCAGTCACTCTGTGCCTTGAGACAAATTCGTATTCCATCCCAGTTCAAATTAAAAGTCCACCAAGATTTTAGGGATAGCCTTATCGTAACTGAACAACGAAAAATTCAAAGTATTAAAAGCAGTATGGAGCTTTTTTTTTCCATTAAATGTTTAAGTTTAAAGCAGTGGTCGCCATTGACCTCAACTGTATTGGATTTGGCTGCAACACTGTTTACCCCTGAAACCCCTGAAAAGTTTTTTGTGGACTCAAACACTTCACCCACCCCTCCATCGGCATAGTGGTGAGTAGATAATGTGTACATTTTCATTTTTGGGTGAACTATCTCTTAAGGGCAGGTTGAGATGGATGGATGGGTCGACATAGGGCTGGGCTATATGGACCAAAATCATCTGCATGTATTTTAGGCTGACTTGTGATACATGATATTATTTCTCTATTTTCTATGAAGTGGACTAAATGTTCTGTTCTAAACTGAAACCACATGTGAGATGCCACAAATCCTCTTTTATTCATATTTTACACCACAGGTACATGAAGTATAAAACATGCTTTATTTCAAGGAAATGATTTCTCAAAGGTTTTGTGGCCAAGAAGGCACTAACTTGAACACTCTCTACTGCAGTTTATGGCAGTATAAATGGAAAAAGAGGTCTGAATGTTTCCAGAAATGACTACAAGCCTTTATTACCTCCAGACTAGATTATTGTAATTCCTTATTATCAGGCTCCACTAGTCTTTAAAGACTGGAGCATGTGTCCTGACAAGAACCACAAAAAGAGATCATATTTCTCCAGTAGTAGCTTCACTGTCTTCCTTCTAAATTTAGAATGGAATAAAAATTATCTTCCTTAGCTATAAAACTTTATGATATGGCAGCTCATATTACCATATCACCCCCATGGAGCAGTGCCCTCCCAAAATTCAGGCTTACTTGTCATTAAGTCTCCGAAAGTAGAGTAGGAGCCAGAGCCTTCAGCTATCAAGCTCCTTTCTTGTGGAATCATCGCCCACTTTCAGTTTGTGAGGCAGACACCCTCTATACATTTAAGAGCAGCTAACCTTTCATTTTGATAAAGCATATAGTTAGAACTGGTTCAGGTATGTCTTGGACTAGCTCTTAGTTATCCTGCTATAGGCTTAGACTGCTAGACTGGACACATGACACATCGAGCTTAAATTTCCTCTTCTCCATCACATTACTAACACTTCTTTGAACTTTATCTTTTGCAGATCCAGGATCGTGGCAGCACTTTTTTATGTGTGTGTCTCATAAACTTTCAAGCAAATCAAACAAACACAAAGTGAACTTCAAGTCCAGTACATGTCCTAATAACTTTTGATCAGTGTTGGTGTTTATTGTTAATGTGTAAAGTGAGTGCAGGTCAATGGGGGAGTGAGGAAGGAGGACACGCAGCAGGGTAATACAGCACAGGGTACAGGTACCGAGGCTGCTGCTGCAAAATGAGCAAAGCGGAAACCCAACTAAGAGGTTATAAATGTAGGTTTCAATATATTTTCGATTAACTGCCAATAAGCCTTACTCTGAGTAATACCCATCGCCTTGCCAGCCTTTTTAAACTATCTAAATAAATCAGCCCAGTTTTTGGAAAACACTTTCTGTGATGTCACCGATCAGGGTGTGACCAGAAGGGCAGGGTGCTAGGCTTCAGCTCATGAACAGAACTGAAACCAGCTGCGAATAGATGACGACCCATACAACAGTCAAACAAGCTGTTTTACTCCCTGCATGTGCATTAGGTTACTCTGAAAAGCAGTATTGACCAATGCAGATAAAGAAACACTAATGCACACACATCATATACATACATAAAGAGTGTGTTTCCTGACAAGGCAGATAAAACAGAGACCGGAAAGGGCTGGACTAAACCCTGAAGGGATGGACACTGCTAAACACCCTCAAACCCCACACATGTGCACGCATGCACACAGTAAATTGATAAACAGATGTCCACTGCATGTCCCTTAATGCAGTGTTAAACTAAAACTCTGAGCAACATTATGTTGCCGCTCCTAAATGGCTAGCCTTAACTAACAAAGTTTAGAACAGCATCATCTGAAACAAATGTTCCATCCGTGAACAGTTTATCCGAGTTTATTGTGTTACGTAATTCAGCAACA